TCTATGGAGAGTTAATCGACCCCTTGCACCCTGCAGAAAGCTAAGATGAACTCCTCTCCCAGGAAGAGGTTCTCGCTCGCTGTTTACTGTCTACCGTTCATGTCGTTACCAAAAAAGGAAAATTTTTTACGGATTGGAAAGTTGTGAGATCTTTCATTAGAATTTAAAAATTAAAATAAATATATTAATATATCTTTTTATTATCTATTTCACAATCGATTTTATCATTCATTTTATTATTCTAAAAAAAAAAAAATTTAATAATTTCATTAATTTATTTTTAAAAAAAAAATAACTTACTTAATTAGAATTATCAACTAATTTTTGAATAACAGAGGTAAGAATTTTATTATTATTATTATTTATTTTTATATAATTTCTAATACCCGAAGAAGAAATATGTCCAGATATTGCCATTGCTTCTAACTCTTCATTTCTAGCATCAAATATAGATTGTATCGATGTATCGCGACCCGAATGGTTGGAATATTTTGACCATTAATATTAATTCTGCAGACAGTACAAATTTCTTCAAATAAATCAGAAATTCATTTTTCTCCTAATGGTTTGATAATCCTTTTGAAATCATTAAATTAAAATAAAATTAAAATTAAAAAAATAATCTATAAATTTAATAACCAAATATTATACTTACTTGATGTATTTTGCAAAATTTCCAAATAAAATTCTTTAGATTTACCATTTGGTGGTCTTAAAGAAATAAATTTATGAATATCTGCATTAGGTTCAGCTTGATTTGGAATATCTTTTGGAAATGGAATTTCAAGGTCATATTGATTTCCTTCAATACCGCCTTGATCATTTTTTTGTTTAAATTTTTGAAATATAAACTCTTGATTTGTATCTATAAATTGTGAAACTAATAGATTCTTATGTTCGTTACCATGAAGACAACCAAAAAGACACATCCAAAGAAAAACACGATGAAGAAAATCTTCAGGATTATTTGGAGATAATTCTTCATGATATAAAATAAGTTTTAATTCTTCAGTTGTAATTCCGTCATAAGATTTTGTTGTTCCTATTCCTAATTTTTTCATCTCTTTTAATATTCCATCAAGAGTTGCAAAAATATTAGGAAAATCGCTTTTATTCAATAGATTATATTGCCAGTCGGATTTCGCGTCACGTAGATATCGACTAATTGAAGCCACAGCATTTTTTAAAGAAGATTGTGAATAATAATCACCTTTTAAAGTACGAACTTCACAAATAAATTCACAAACTTCCTTTTCAAGTTGTGATTTACTTGTAACCGATTCAAGTGTATAATTGTATCCAACATTAACGTGATTTTGCCAAGCATTTATAATTTTAACCCACTTGTTGGTACACTTAATAGTATTTTGAGAAATTCGATTTTTTTGTATTTTTTCCAGTTCGGCTATAGTTGGTTTAGAATAATTCATGTTTAAAAATAAAAAAAAAAAATCAAAAAGCTTAAAGTAAAAAAAAATGACATATGTCAGATAAATGAGTCATTCGGCATTCGATACCGAATAACTTTACCACCTAAAAGTGGTTTACGTATCTGGCAACTGATTTAATTAATGATTCTGGGCTCCTTTGGAGCCCAGAATTAACCAATCAAATTGTGTTTGCCCATACTACAGTTATTTGGCACTGCATACTGAATAACTAATTATTATTGTTTTTTATAATTTGTAAATTATTTTTTGTTTAAAGATTGTTCTAAGAATACTATTCTATTTGTTATATATATATTTTGTAGTAACAAAATATTGTAGAAGATATTCTATTACTGGAATAAGAATATAATTTATTATATATATTTGTTGTTTATCTGTTATATAGCTTCTACTTATTAAAAAAATCTCTTTCTTAAACATATTTGTATTTAAAAAAAATTATTAAAAAAGGAAATTAAAAATTTTTTCTTCAAAAAACTGATAAGGACTCTAAAGGATCTTTCTTATCCTCCAAGAGTTAATTCATCAAACTAACTTTTACTCTACTCAACATCTTCATTACCAATATTGATAAATGCCTAATTATAATTTTTTATAAAAATAATAACAATATTGTCTACTTTACCAGTCCTACTACTTATATCTGTTTTTCAAAATTTGAAAACCCTTCAAACATATAGTTGACATTAGTTCACATCCAAGAAAATAGTTATGAAACTTTTAAAGTAATTTCAGTATCTTTTGAAATATACAAAAAAAGACTTAAAAATCACTATATCAAAATAAAAGCCAATATACTAAATCTAATATTCTTGAAAACAATAAACTTTTTTTACAAGTACTAATATACCTTTTTGCTTATCCAACAATAACAAAGCAGATATTATAAAGAAGCTTCTCAAACAAAAACTTAACTACAGCCTTTATGTCTTTTAAAATAAAATTAACATCAATACTAATAAAGTGGCCAAAACTTTCTTCTTGAAGCAAAAAACCAAGACACATATTTTCTTCTAACACTTCTGTCTTAATTGGGAAAAAGATCAATGACAATAACATGAAACTTGATTGTAAAAATGAAGTATTACATGCAAACACTCCTAAATACAATGCTGATTAACTTAGTCTTAATACAGTAACTTTTGAATATAATGGCAATCAATCCAGTTCCTATACAACTTCAAATAACAAATATATAGTACAGCATACTACAATATGCCCACCCATTTCTCTATATATGAATCAATTCAACCAATTATAGCAAACATAAAAATTGATAAATATTTTTTTCCAAGCCAATCAGTGAAGACTCTTGAATTTTTTCTTATCAACTGAGTGGATAAAACTAGCAAACACTTAAAAGAAAACTAAACTGAAAAGAATAATGTCACCAGTATCTCTGATATTAGAAATATCCTACTCAATAAACAGAAAAAAATCTTGGAACTATACAAGAAATTCAACAAGTGTGAAAGATTAGTCAAATCTGTAATCAACTTCTTCTTAAAAATCAAAAATGAGCCAATAGGTACTTCAAGAACTTCTTTCAAAGAAATTTTTTCAAAAATCAAATATAGAAATCATGATTTCTTCAGAACATTTGTGAGAATGAATTAATTAAAGACCAATATAAAAAAAAATACAAGAAAATAAAGAAACAATTTCATTCAAACTATTGTTAAGCTGACAATCTGGGGTATGTTATCAGAACTATCCAAAATGAAATCAAAAAAATAATTAATAAAACTCTTTTTGTCATCTATCTTTGCTTAACAGACTTAATATTACTCAAGTATTGGCAAATTGTTCAACTTCTTAAATACAGATTCAATTTTTTATTGATCCTATATTACAAAAGATTGATTATTAAGAACTATATGAAACATGTAAAAAACTTATTCAGAAAAACTTACCTAAGCTACTTAGCAACTCAAGTAAAATTTCCACTATAATAAAAATTAGAATTTCTAAAACTATTCTAATTATCTCAAGCAAAAATACAAATAAAGTTATTAGCAGCTTGAGAGTCTTCTATAACTTTGATGTTTTCTCCACTATATACTTTATCAAAAAATCTGATCTTCCTAACAAACCTAAATACCTCAATTTAGAAGTAGCTCATCTTTTTTCACTCATAAAAAGATATAAGCTTGCAATTCTCAAATTTTATATAAATAAACTTAGAAAACATTACTATATTCTGAATAAACTTTCAGATTCATATTTTAATCTCTCCTTACCAAAAATACATTTTTTACTATCATTTAAAGATTTATCAATTAATCTTGCCAAGCATTTCCCAGCAAACAATACAATAGAAGAATTTAAGAGAAGTGTAAATGTAACAAATTTATAGATGCCTGGCAAAAATCCCATTTTTCTTCGAAAAGTCAGATGACAACTTCTCAAACAATCTTAAGAGACTATAGGTATTTAGATGAGAGAAACATTTTTTATTAATAGATGAAAAGACATTGTCAACACTGATTTCTTAATAATCAAGGATTTAGTCTTCCGGCCAAAGAACACTAATAATTAGACTTAAACATATGTCCGAAGTCACATGATATCCGCCGATCCCGAAGCTCCGGAGTAACGCGAAACCCAAAACTTATAGTGATTATTAATTCAACATTATTTCACTAATTAAACATGTGTTATCAATTAGTAATTGATATCAAGGGGTTATAGGATATTATTAATGTGTTTGATTAACACTATTATTCATTTATTTTCTTATTTTATTTTATTTTTCTTTATTAATGCATATGATCTCCAGGAGAATCACTAAGATTATATGTATTTTATTCTTTATGTACTTTATTTATTTATATTGGGAAAACATGTATTTAAAGACTGTATTTTTTCTTTAATTATCTTTAGAGTTGTCTGCTTCACTCTCCATTAATAAAGTTTTCCTTTAATAATGATAAACTATTAATGACAACATGTTCCTTTACTTAAACTATTACATTTGGTATGCTTCTTTTATCCTACCCTTTTCTTAAAATTCCTTCTTGTTTTCTTTCTTTTTGTTTCTTTTCTTGAGGAAAACACTTCCTGCCACTTTTCTTGAGGAATTTTCTCTTGTTTTCATCGCTCTTCTCTTCCCAGGTGCCACAAAGATTCGCCCATGGTTACACAGGGTCGGCAAAGATATGCCAAGGTTACATGAAGCAAACTTGAGGTCATTAGAAAGGTCATCGCAAGGGCTATGTAAAGGGATCATCAAGGTACATTGAAGGTTACACAAAAGATCAAAGGGAAGGCCACGTCTTAAGGATCTACCAAGTGCCACGAAAAAGGATTTGCAAGGTTATACGAGGTTTTACATATGAAAAATGAAAGTTTCTCAAGGTTTTCTCTAAAAAAAGACTCACCAAAAATTCGCCAAAGGATCTACAAAGGTTCCACGAAGATAGCGCAAAGGTCTCACGAAGGTTACGCACGGATCTATATTAGGGTTGCCATTCACAAGGGTAAAATATTATTATTTGCTTGAGTAATTTCATAAAGTCACTATATAGCTGTCGATGATCTTGCATATGTTGGTTAAGGGCTGGTCAGTCATGTAACACCTAGGTTTCACCTATCTGTAGGATGATGTTTGAGGCTATATCATTTTATGAAATTATCAAAGTAATTAATATTATTTTATAATTGATTGCTTTATATATTGATGTTATACTTATCTTTTTTGCGTGAGTATATTCAATTGTATAAGGAATCTTGTGACTTGAAAATCCTAAAATTGATGTTAGTGTGACAACAAGGGTCCATTGAGCATCACCACATTGTCACTTTGTCACCGGTCCACAGAGCATCACAGTGATTTGGTACAACATTAATACAGGACAACATAAAACACAACAACTTTATTTGCTCTCTGATACTTCTACATTTGGGGGAGGACTCTCATCCTCAGGTATAAGACTAGGAAGGTTTCCACCAGGAATACGCTACTCAAAATTGTTAGGATCTTGCTCAGGATCTGCACCAGGATTTATGAAGGTCCAGGTTTCATTTAACACCCACTTAAAAGGACTTTCTTTGATATCTACAACCCAAAGAACCAACTGCTTGCTGGGAAATTCTTTAAACCCTTTCTTTAATTTCACTTTCAACTTGTCCACATGGTCATACAGGGAGATTATCTCTTGTCTCAAGGCTTCTTTCTGGATTAACCTACAATGAAGTCTATTGACATTCACTTCCAGAAGGGTCTTGATTCTCTGTGCATATTTGGTTATCACTTTCTGGTCTTTCATCCTGACAGTGAACAGGATTCTCTTGTGCTCTTCATATTGGGCACGCAGTTTGGAAATCTTCTCTTGGAGTTCTGTCAATTGCTCCAGCAATTCCATCAAGGGTTCTTGATATTCAGGGTAGTCACAAGCAGCAATGGACCAATGGAGGATCTTTATTTGCTCTTGAAGGATAATGATGCAACTGATCATGGCATCAGGGTGTTGGACAGCGCGAATCATTCTATTAGTGCGAGACATTTTCTTGGAAGTTCTCTGGTAATAATAATTGTTGAATTATTGAAAATTTTTTTTTCATCACAACATTGGGCAATAAATACAAAAATGCTGAAAATTTTTCTTGTCAAAACTGAAATTTTGGGGTAACTGAAAAAGGACACAACACATGGCAACAATAATAATACTGCAGGAATAACAATAACAACATGAGGCAACAATAATTGAAACATGAGGCAACAATAATTGAAGCGTGAACAACACATGGCAACAATGGAAAACTAATACACAGCAATGACACAGCATACTAAATTTGGGACAACAATGGTTAAGGAACATGGCAATCATGATCAATTTGGAAAGGTACAAATTTGAAGCCAATCAAAGAACACTCTCACTAATGATTAATGACTGGATTAAGGTTGGGAAATTCTAAAAATAGTACAGTATTTACAAGGAAATATAACATGATAACAAAAACAAATTTAGAATTTCCAA